AACAACTCTGCGCTAATCTTGTGTTAAGACCCTTAAATGTGGAATATTTAAGTAATGTCTTTGAGACATTAGACACCCTGTACACCTTTATCTTTGTAGCGAGTAAATGGCGTAGCAATATCGTTATATCTGACGCCGAACAATAGCAGAATGTGCACACCGACTCCCTTCTCATAATCAACACGAACCTCTTTTGAAGATACTCCTTTTGAGGAACCTCTACCGGTTTGTGGTAACGATTGTTTGTGTAATACACTTTATCTATAGAACACGCTCGAGTTCCATTTTCGAAATTTAATTTCATTGTGACGTCATCGACCTAGTTTTGATGTTCTAATGAAGGGTTCATTACGGGATCATGACGAGTCCTGACAGATGTCAGTTCATATTTCAAACTTATCACAGTAAAATAATATTGTATTTGATGGCCGTGAACCCATGTATTAAAAGATGTAAGAGTTTGTCAATCAATACAAAAATTAAATCTTTATTAAGACACTGGCTTTCGCCCGCGACTCCGTCTAAACTAAAAAAAAGTTTTAAGTCTCAATAAATAATTGTTGAAACTTAACGTGTAAATTAAGTTTATCTGAACATTTTAATTACTATGCCGTAAACGCTTCTATTACACAGCCTTGCACAAACCTATATCAGGTTTACAAGAGCGCGATGTTAGGAAAGCGAATAAAATAAACCTTATCTCTTATCGGGTGTTTGTAATTAGATAATGTGAGCTTAGCTTTATTTACTGCGGACACGTGCCTCGGACTGCGATTGTGTGTTGCATACTAAGTTTTTGAAACTGAACTATTTTAGATCAATTATTGGCAACAAAATATACTAGACCAGAGACTATGTTGAATTAATCCTATTTATACTATTATAATAAAGCGTAAACACACAATTCTTTGTTGCCTAAGATGTCAGCAATTACAGCATATTTTTGTATAATTACTTTTTTAATAAAAAGCCCTACACTTACGTCACGCTTTAAGCTATATATTTTCACGCCATTAAACATAGGTGGTGAATATTTTGGATAAAAACCCTAATGAGGGAAAGAGGTCATAAGTTGCTGCCAACATCAAGGAAGCAAGATTGCCAAAGTTTGACATGTCATGTCATTTTGACATTTGCTATTGATAATTTGACAGATGTAAACAATAAAATAAAATTTTCATAATTTCATGCGGATGAAGCCGCACAGGAATAGCTAGTTGTTTATATTTTTTTATATAAATTTTACCAATGTTCCAAACAATTGAGTGCGTAAAGTTAGGGACGATACGAAAATAATTTGAGTTTTTCTAATTTTCTTTAAGTAGATTCTTAACGTTTTATGATTATAGTAGGATAGAGAACTGTCATGTTGCAACAAAGTACGATTCTAAGACATCTGCATCCGCTGACTTTTTGCATAATTAGAGGGGTCGTCGCTCCATCTAGTATGGGGTCTTCCTGTATTCCTAGTACGACGTACAATACGTAAACTTTGTCAATATTGATAAGTATTGTATTAAGCAATTAAGCGAAGCTGCGGCGAGTTACTAATATACTACATGGTGATGTTTGTTAAAGCAAAACCTGTTTCACACACCAAGTAAAAAAAGAAAAATGACCATGAGAAGTCAATACATTAACATTAAATTCTATCAACTTTTGCATACTGACTGACAAAAGTATCAAACATGATAGGTTTCTGCATTTTATATGCACTGGCGATATATTACGGGGTCGAATGTTTTCAATAAAATTTCAAGTCAGGCCGTCTACGGCGGTGCGGGCGTCGCGGGCCGCATCGAAGCAATTTACTCTCCATCACAAACCAATCATCGGTCGTCGGCGTCGTTTCGCTTCCTGCAACAAATATTGCTTCCATGTTTAATTCGTACATCGCCTGATATTTTAGATGCATCGATTTTTCACTTTTGATCTTTATTTTATAGCTCCAGCTCTTAATAGACATTCAAGTTTAAATACTTACGTAACTTGAAATTTGCGGCTAGATGAACAATAATCCCATAACTGCCATACTCTGTTTCAATTTATAGTTACTAAATGTTTGTATCTAAATCAATGTTCAACACTAAAAAATATATGCGGATCTCCAAAGCATTGCAATTCACAATGCTGAAATAACGCCATCTAGTGCGGTAATAACTGAATAAACTGGCAACTTTAGTTTTAAAAATTATCATTTCTAAAATATGTTAATTGAGCCTTATTTTTACTATTTCCGAATTATTTTCATTCCAATAGAGAAATATATCGCTATATTTAATCCAAAAATAGCTACCAAATTTAGACATCGAACAGAAGTCGGCCCAACACTTTAAATTAGATGGACGATTATTTTTAACTACCTTCATAAGCATGTGTTGCTTCGATACATTATACAGATATCATTATCGTTGTTATAAAAAGAGACGGTGATAAAACTAAATAGTTATTTTTTAAATCATCTATATTTAGGTCCCACCAAATTGTACATTGTCTGATGATAATCCGACATTTAAATATGTGATGGTATCGGATTTTGTTACCTTATCTGACAGTGAGATCATTTTTAAACTATCTGAGCCTCTATCAGCCAGTGGTGGGACTGGCCCTTAGTGTGGTATTTCTAATGAATTTTCGTTGTAATGTGTTTTAAATAAACATAAGTTTTCCAGTATTCTTCAGTTTTTGAACAATGTAAGTAAACATGACATTGTAAAATGGAATAATCGATTATTGATTTAAAATGTAAACAGTTGCAGCAAATCTGCACAAATACGGGCATTTGATACGTAAAATCCACGTAATTACGGTCCATGTGCAATATTTAATCGCTTTAATTGCCATCGTCCGTTTTTACTTTAGTTTTTTCATCACTGTTTCGACATGACTCACGTTTTCTAATCGTATTCTATGCAGCTTTGTTAGTTATAATTGAAAAAAAAACTGTTTTTATATCTAGCAGTGGGTAGACAAAGGTTGATGATTATGATGTTGTTTACATTTTTAGATTTTGAAAATATTATAGGATAAACTTTTGACAAGACAACACAGTTTTAAAGTCACACGTTCAAAAGGGATTAAAATAAATTTAATTGTCTGTCTTGATACTTGTCAACTTATTGGCAAAAGTTGGTATCAATTTCATGTCAATAATCTCGTGAAATTATGCACAATTATACAAGTTTGATGTTTATAGGAAACGGAAGTTTTCTTAAATTCGAGTTTTAACATAGATGAAGAAATCTCGAGTTCTTAATAACTTACAAGGAAGTGTTCAATACTTCCGCGAAACATCAAAAGAATTCTTAATTTAGAACTAATTATTAATAACATTTATTATACACGTTCTCTATTATACTGATCTTATAGAATATAACATTTATGAAGTCATTGTTAAAAATTGTTATTGTCCTCAAATGTTTTGGCTGATTGTTTACAAAATATGTAACCTTTATTTGTAAAAAGTTTTATTTATTCCCCATAAGTGTATGTAAACTCAGTTCCTTTCAATAATGAACGATTGAAATAATATTTACAAGCTTATTTGTGACAAATACTATTATACTTCCTACTAATATTATAAATGAGAAAGTTTGGATGCATGGGTCTTTGATCTTTGTAATTTCGATAGATGTAGAACATAGTCTGAGAGAACATAGACTACTAATTTAGTATAAATCCGCGCAGAGTCCCTAGCGACAGCTACATCTGCTTAAAACCCAAAGAATGTTTCTCTCTTGAATGTATTTTTAACATTTATATGTTGTACATAGTAGATGATCATGTGTGTGTGAAATAAACATAAGGTCCGTGACGTCACATTAATTTGATCAAAGTGAAAACTCGATCGTTTTCCACGCTACTTGTTTCGAGTCGCTGTCAACGGCCCGGCTAATGCTTCCGTCGGCGTCCAATTTTAAACTTTTGATGGTGTTTACGACCGCGCCGTAGATTTATGGAGCGGTCGATTTTCTGGTATCAATTTCGTCAATTTCACGGATGAGCCGAGCTTCACAATTCCCTTGTCAGGTGAACTATGGCAAGGGATTCCGCACGTAAATAATTTATATTTGCTACAAGAATAGCTGACTAAATATACGAGTAGAGTTGATAGTGCCGAAAACACCGTTAAGACATTTTATGCTAATAATATTAGGTTATTAACTAAAAACAATGATGTATTCTCCAAAAGCGGGTTCAATAACCTGTGAATTGCTCTTCATTTAACTATTAAGTTGTATTATTAGTTTTCCTGCTTTTAATCAGTGTCTTGTTTTGTTTTTGTTTTTTTTTTTTTATCTCTTAAAAACTTGGTTTATATAGCGTTGTTTAAGTTTTTGTTTAAACGTCACGGTGGTGATTTTTATTGATTTTGGTTGAATAACTATTTTGTATGAATCTAAGAAGCTTACGCACCGCTTGTTCGAATTAATTACAAACATTTCTTGAAGCTAAACACGTAAGGCCTTCAAGTGAGCAGACAGTCTAATCTCCTTATGTATTTATTCTTGTATTTCAAGTTAAGTCTAAGCCATAAAGTTAGTAGAAGCTCAGTCAAGGCCGTACACTTGAATATTCTTAAGCGAACCCGTAAATTGTGAAGGGTCGTTTAAAATACGACTTTTAAGGAATTTTCATTAAGCGAATTAAGCAGTAAATATGAGCGTGCGGCAATAGACTTTCAAAGGCGAGGTGTTTTCAAAGGATTTTATTACACCTGCCGTGTAAAATACTGCGGTTAAGACTTATATTTTTATGACCTTATTTGAATCTGTATTAGGTTATAAATTAGATCAACATATTTTAGAAAAATGTTTATAAAACCTAATATAGAAGCGTAAAATTCAAAAATAATTTAGAGTACAATTTGTACTTATGTATCCTGCAAGAGTGAAGATTGATGTAAAACTATTTAGCACTTTCTAGCATTGATCTTATTACTTCTTGATTTTAAAACTGGAATTATTTCATAACATATAAATTTAACTGTTTGTCACCAGGTGTCGCGGCCGGAGAATCGTCGCTCGGTGTCAGTGGGTGGCAATGTGGAGAGGCATTCTTATGCCGAGGGCAGAGTCCCAGCGCCGCACGGACCGCCGCCGTCGCCTGGCGCGGTTGCCGCACAGCGCAGGGTTGAAGCCGCATGCCAGGCGAGCAGGAAACTGCTGGAAGAGACTCTTTCTAAACCAGGTTTGTATAACTCAGATGATAATGTTACTCTGATCACCAATACGTGATAACCCTTTCATATTCAATAGTGGAAACGCAACTTTCTTCTACATACCTTAAAAGTAATTTAAACATCTAAAGAAACCGTTAATGTAATCCATAATCGTCTACTGTATTAATGTATTGTGTTGCAATGGCTTTCGTCATTGTTGTGGACCATTTGTTGGAGAGAAAGCAAAGGAAATGCTCAGAGGTGTGAAAGTGCAATCTCTCTCCTTTAGATTAGTACAATTTGAAACGATAAATTATTTCTTGAACGATATTATATTCTATTTACACTTTTCTAACTTCTAGATACTACGATTCCAGTAAGTTTCGGACATTGAACAAATAGATACTTCCACACTGAATAGGATAAACTAAAAGATTTTATGATGACTTGTGTTCGTAAAGTCTGTACGTACTATTTAAGGTGGTAGTAAAGTATGTATACTGTATGCATGTCTTCATTTTATACTAATTAAAAATTACGTCACATTAACTGAGCCACAAGATTGTAAAGCAAACGTTACAAACACTGTCATGTTTTTGCTGCAGTTTTTTTGTTCTTTTGTCTTGCGGTCCGCTGCTCGGAGCGTACTTAGTATCTTCAACTTAGCCAAGTAAAAACATTGCACGCCTCAGTGCTAGTTAGTTGATTAAAGCATTAATTAAATTAGACGGCGGGTGAGTGCGGGCTATGCGTATATCTTGGGAAATCACATTCCCTATGCGACTCCGAATCAAGAGTTATTAAGTTGCATACTAGTGATGCGCCTTTTTAATGTGTATTTTTTATCGACATTTTTATTATCTACTGATAGACCTTTTAGATCATACTGTGTAGTGCAAAGATCAAAGATTAAATCTGAAACGTATCTCAAAATAATTCATACGCAGTTACAGTCTGTCAGACTTCATAATTTTACTTTAATTTGTGTGTTGTCCTCAATGTGTGTTTCAAAGTTCAAAGTTTAATGAAAATATGTCTCATAAATTATATTTAAAGCATAATTACGTAATGTAGCGTGTAAAATGTTTGATCAATGATAAAGCCTTCATGAAAAGTAGCGAGTGACCGGCTAATATGAAAGGTTTGCATACAAGCGCAGCGCAGGCTTTATGAGAGGCTGCAGGAAGGCGGAACAATGCCGCAGGACACAAGAGCATTGAAAAGCCCTGTAAAAATATGTCCACAAAGCCAGTCTAGACTATGACGCCATGTTTCAAATTAAATGCCGCTTAAAATGGACAAAGGACTTAACCTCATTCCCATTGCCGTTTTGCGATCAATTGCTAATGTTACGGTTAGGTCGATAAAGTACTTCGGAATGTTTTTCTCTTTGTACTGTTTCTGTAAAAAAGGAATTTTATCTTTGAATTAACTTAGTAATGACTAGCTTTCGTCCGCAACTCCGTCCGCGTTGAATTTAAAAAAAACAAAAGTGAGTAGCCTATGTGTTCTTCAAGACTATCCTCTACATCTATGCGAAATTTCATCAAGATCCTTTCAGCCGTTTAGGCTACAAACTCTAACAAACGTCCATTCATTCAAACTTTCGCATTTATAATATTAGTAAGAGGTAAGATAAGATTAGTAAGATTACCCAGTATTATTTAAGTTTAGTTACTTTGTACACAATTCATGTACACTAAAATATTTTTGTGCAAAACAAAATATTTTATTGTAATCCTATCATTTCAATTCTGTATGAAATAATAAAGACTGCATCAAGAATTGTAATAAATAACTCATCGGGCTAAGTTTCAGTGACACGAATACGCCGCAGTCCCTCGACGAAGGATGGTTTTGAATTAATAACGAAATAGGTTGCACTACGCTCACTGAACATACATATATCTATCCCAGTATAATATGTATACAGGAACACATCATATGTCACCGATAGATTGTAAACTTTGTCAGTTTATGAATTTACTACAACATATAAACGTCTTCATAATCAATTGAACATATCGTTATAAACGTAATTAAACCATCTTCTTATTTAATTATTGATAAACAATTATTACTATCATACGAACTAACTTATAATTGACTTCCATGGTCTCTCTGTTTATCGCAAAAAAGACAAGAAAACACTGATTTTATTTTCTTTTTTTATACCTTTTTTATAACTAATTTTATATTAGCTAAATTACTTTACTTGTTAATTTACGAAGTTAACAGATTAACTGATTCAAAAGTGTCGAAGTTTACTATCGATCGGTGACATTTACACTCATGATACAAGACTCGCAAGGAATTCCCACAAGCAGTGTCTTATTGACCTAAAAACGGAAGCATGAATTGAAAAATGATGAATACCATATTGCATATCGGAATTGCAAGCATCGTTATGCTATTATTGATGTTTATATTTTTCAACCAATATGTAGGTTTCCTCGATACTTCTCTCTTCTTTGCTTCACGAATACCTACTACTCACTGCCGTAGTAAAGATAGAAACAACTTTTAAAATGTATTTCCCCAAAATTATTGTTATTTTTTAGCAGTCTCTAAGGTCACTCTTACGGTGATTCATGACTAACCCAAGAGTAAATCATGATTAAGAAGGATTTATTTGTTAAAGTTTACACAAATATGTACATCTTTAAACACGGCTGTTCAAATTAAAATGTAGTGGGTCGCTTACTATTTTTGTACAGCACTTACAAACAATATTTTTAGGTTATTTTTACCTTAGTCCTTTATTTTTTTATTCTTTATAATCTTAAGTATAAATATCATACGTAAACGCCTAATATCTTTTTGATGTCTTCTTACGGTAACTGCAGTGAAGTTGCGCATTGTTACGGAAACTTATACCAGTATTTTAATGTACAATTTTATGTAATCGATGCTATAAAAGTATCTTTAACGACTTATGCGTCTTCGAAATAGGTTTCTCATAAGTATTGATAATTATTTTAGTAAGTAATACGTGCGGACCGTAAATTAGGAGTTTCTGGCTAAAGCCTTGTTAAAACAATCGAACGTAGGGTCAGTCACGAACCATTTAAATTCATATGCCGAATAACAAAAGAAACCTTCATGTTTCGTCACACTGCATCTTTGTTGTAACGCAGGTTTGATCACGTCCTAAAAACAATGTAAAAACACACAATTGTTAATTGTAATACATATAAAGTGGTCATCATATTGCCCTGTCCTTATCCCATTTATGAAGAGCCGCTTCACCAGGTTTTCGTATTACAGAAAGATCTTTCTTTCAGCATCAGTCGTCACGTCTTTAAAAATTATAACATGTGATGCGTACTAATTTAATTGTCATGATTAAAATTTCGGACGTGGTAGTAGTAATATATTTCCCCAGACTCAAATTGATGTTTATTTTATAGGACCTCCACCGACGATAGTCCTTCCGCCTAGCGGTGGCTACTGGGTTGATGGAGTTGATGATACTCCCCCCGAAGGAGAGGAGAGCGAGGCGCGAGCGCAGCCCGGCACGCCGCGTCACAATTCCCGCCGGTACATAATCGACACCGATGATACCGCCAAGTACTACAGGCGGTTCTTCATAGGCAAGGTGAGTTTAAGACATAGTTAATCATTGACACACATTGCTACAACTCTACTACTGTTAAACATAAAAAAGATTGAGTTAGTAAGTATAATTTGATGATTACTCTATCAGCTAAATCCCATTACAAACCTCACTGACGAACTCAGTTGCTATATTATAATCGAAAAGTATTTAGCTGTAGGACAATCCAGCTTACTTATGGAGATTAAAACAGTTACATCGTATATATATATCTTCCAATCGCTGATCTTAGCGTTGATAACCATAAATGAAGAGCCTTGTCATTTAGCATGATATTAACCGCGCCGTGCTGTCTGCTCCGAAGACGAATTCAACATTCGAGTAATTTCGCTCTGTCTCATAAATTTCCGTTGTCAGTTATTACGTTCCCTTGACACCGTAAAGGGGCAAGCAGGTTGTCGTTTCAATGCCGATTACCATTTATAAATCGACCTCGCGATCCAGTATACCTGATCAAACTTGATCGAGTCAGTTCCTTCCCGTAGTTACTGAAGTATTTTTTTATACTACAGTGCGTGCCATTTCGACACAGAATACAGCGTCATTTAATTTAAAACGTTTATTATGATTTTAATTCTAACTAAAATAGATGTAAGGTAATTTCACACGATGCGTGCCCTCCCTGTACGTCTGATGTCGGCTCGATACCGTTATCAACACGTGTGAACTCTCCCATACCCACGCCCTAGCCTTACTTTTTTACTTTTATACCATTATCTATGCTCGTAATTGTCAGACTTAATACTCCAAGTGTGATACATTTCATCCTTACGCTGTCTTTATTAAAAGAATCAATCGGAATTTATATAACTTTATTAAAGTTTTAAGTTTGCTTCAATACTTACTTTAGAAAGTTGGTAAAGTAAATCTACACTGCCATTAACATTATTTAACCATAACTTAACTTAATGTTTTAATTATATCCACCTCACTGTATCTACACATACGCACATTCAAATTAAGACTGAAAAAAATCACCAATTAAATTGGTCGCGGCGCAGCGGAGCGGTTAAGGGTCCAACCGCTCGTTACGAATATAAATAAATAAATATAGATCCCGCAAAGCAGTGGGAAAAGTCGGTGCAGTTCAGCAAAGCGGAACGCTGTTCACGCACGGTGAACCAAACCCCGCTGCGTAGATCGACCAGATTACTGCAGTGGCAATTTGATAGCAGACCGTGTGCACTCCGCTTTATCTTCCTCGCTTAAATCTATCCATCCATCCGCCCTATGCATTGTATGGAAATTTCTGAATGTACTTGTATGATTGTATAATATTTTCGTTTATAATTTCCCTTAAATAATTATGAAGAGAAAGATAATTAACGGTTTACATTGACTTTGTTATACTAGAATGTAAAAAATTAAATTCCATCAGGATAAAAATATTTTTTTTATACGATTGCAAGATCTTGCTTATCTAATGTTACGAAATCGTGAAAATAACTACTAGTAGTCTTTTTTTTTGTCTGAATAAATGGTACTTTTATTTTCTTGCTGTTCAATAAAAATCAGGTCATCGCAAATGAGATAACTTTTACAGATGAGCATTGTTACGCTCGATCTATTTGTAACAGTACAATTCTCTGCGCCAGTCGTTCCACTCGCTCAGTTATTAGCTTTCTCTAGTTTTATGCCAACAACTAATGTGCCATTTAGCAAACACGCTACTCTATTGCGCATTAACAGTTCTCTGTATTTCATAAACGGAAAAATAACGTTTTTCATATGCAATAACAGAAACTATAACAAGTTACCTCATAATCGACTTATTCTTGAAATTGTAAATGCACTTGAATCATACTAATATTATAAATGTGAAAGTTTAGATGGATGGATGGATGTTTGTTAGTTTGTAGCTTAAACGGCTGAACGGTTCTCGATGAAATTTGGTATAGACGTAGAGAATAGTCTGGAAGAAGACATAAGTTACTCACTTTTGTACAAAAGTACAAAAGTAAAAAAGAATTAAAAAATTCCACGCGGACGGAGTCGCGGGAGAAAGCTAGTATTGCATAAAGCTATTTTTGACAGTTCTTTAGCCAAAGCTGAAACATTCGAGAAACGATTACGGCTCTCATATTCTTTGTAACAAATCTAAAACACCAATTGGTTTTTTTCATGTATTGGTATTTAACTGTTCTCTAGCAACTCACATCCACTAACTATGCTCTATTCAACTTTGTTTTTAATCGAATTAAAAATGAAAGAGGTTTTATATGCGTATGTATGTTTTTTTTTAATGTTGTATCTGATTACTGGCAGTTTAGACGTGTTCATTAATAGGATAGTTTTCTTAGTTTATGTTTTTATTTGCAGTACAAATCTCTGGGTAACGATTTGAATTTTTTATTCAAGGTTTTTTCAATAACGTTTACTAAATCGACAAATTCGATGTTCATGACTGTCTATAAATTTTTTGCTGCCGCGAAATCGATTAAGTTAAAGCTTACAATTATTATTTTCTTGGCAACTTTTTATATAAACCTACAGTTTTTATATAAACTTAATCAAAAAAGCTATTTTTATTTCATTAATAGATCTAGGACTTTGTTAAAAATTTATCTCGACTGCTTACAAAATGTAAAATTTAAAAGATTTAAATATACGAGTAAAACAAAATCAGTTACCATCTTATCCTCTATCGTTTTAGTAGCCTGTACAGAATATTGTTGTCGCTATTCTATCACAGAAAATGAAAGAGATGACGATATGTTTTAACTAGAAACCCTCCGTTACATATAAAATATTACTCTCATTACGTATAAACCTGTAAATTTCAATAGGTCATCGCGACAACACGGGGTTAGGCCAGATGAATGAGGAGCTCCGATTGCCCGCACGATAACATTGGGCCGACGTGTTAACAAATTATAGCAATCACGATTAGTGATGAGAGAACGCGAAATAACGCAGTTAATTAAGCTATATTTAGTTACATTGCATGTAAATCAAAGCGGCAGGTAAATTTGGGTTGAAAATGTAATGCGGTAATTTGATTTGGTCGTATTTCATTTTGTAAGATGGATTTATTTTATAACTTTTGTTTTACAATTAAAATTAATTTAATTAATTGACCGACTTCCCAAAAGAAGGAGGTATTCAATTCGACGGTATATATATATATTTTTTTTTTTTTTTATGTGTGTTACG